AGAAATAGAAATAGAAATAGAAATAGAAATAGAAATAGAAATAGAAATAGAAATAGAAATAGAAATAGAAATAGAAATAGAAATAGAAGTAGAAGTAGAAGTAGAAGTAGAAATAGAAGTAGAAATAGAAATAGAAATAGAAATAGAAATAGAAGTAGAAGTAGAAGTAGAAGTAGAAGTAGAAGTAGAAATAGAAATAGAAATAGAAATAGAAATAGAAATAGAAAGCAAGATGGAGGTTTTAGGGTGGAGGTGTCTTTCTTTTTCACCTTCCTCTTCATGGGTCTAGGTGGTACTTTTGTGATTGGATAGAAAATTCCGCATTGCGGGTCACGGGTGATTAGCTATTTAGTTAAAAATAAAAATAATTTAGGTGCTCGTTCTTAATTGGGCCATTAGGCCTTAAAAGACCTTGTCGAGAAAGACAAGCCTCCATTTTTATCTTGTTAGCCAGAAGCGCTGCAGAACCCACTGCAACACAGGCGAGAATTAATAAACTCCTAAGCCCGAAGAAGAAATTCCACCTCCCGCGTCCAATCCCAACCGTGGGGCAGAGAAGGAAAAGAAGCTGAAAGGCGATGGATTCTGGTCTCACCTCGTGCTGGGCCGACTCGGGCGGCCAGGGCGTAGCGCAGGACGTGCTCGTGGCCATCGAAGAGGGCGAAGGCGCGCGCCACCGAGAGCTGCTGCCGCGCCGGCGGCCGCGCGTGCGGGCACCCCGAGAAGGAGATGTTCTGGCGCAGGCGGTAGGACAAGGTCTGGTTGGCAGTGCCCGCCACCACCACGTATTCCCGCTGGCCTGAGGATGTCACGGCTGCCGGGTGGCACGGGGAGAGCCGGGGGATGTGGGGAAAATGTGTCAGCATCGATGTGTCTCGGGTGTTTTTGGGGTATTCGAGGTGGGGTGTGTGAGGAGTTGAGGTGAGTACGGGTGTTACCTGAGCTGGAGTAGGAGTAGAGTTCCTTGTAGGGAGTGATGTGGACGGTGACGTTCTCCGGCAGGAATGGCACCTCACCCTGGATGTGTGTCCTGAGGCTTAAATAATTGTCCGGCCCCAGGCCCTCGGCTGTCTGAGTGACCTGGACCGTCTCCCCAGCGGGGTAAAACGTCACCTCCAGGCTCTGGGTGAATTCAGCACCTGGCCAGGAAAAGGGAACAGGCACCATTTGTAGAGACAACCCCAAAGCATCCTTCCCTTGAGGGGTCACAGAGAGATGGGAGAGAGAGATTGGCAAAACCCCAGAGCTTCCCTGACCCCCTGACCACCCACCCCGAGGAGCCACACCCCAAATCCCCTCTCACCCGTGATGCTGAAGCCGTTCTCAGAGCCAGGCTCCTCCACGGCGAAGAGCCACGCGAAGAGCCCCCCGACGGGCAGCAGGGGCAGCAGGGCACGGGCAGCGGGCTGGGGCACCCCGCTGATGGCCGTGTAGGCTCTGCCGTCGCTGCCCACGATGTAGGCGTGCAGATCCACGTCCTGGAAGCGGACGGACGCCCGGCCCACCCTCAGGCTCCCGCTCACCTTCCCGTTGAGGCGATGCACGGCCCCTGGGTGGGGAGATGGGCACTCCTGGCAGCGGCCACCCCGGATACACGGGCTGCCCGTCCCCGCCGCCCGCCCCCCGTACCTTCGGGCAGGCACTGCCGCCCGTTCCCGTAGAAGGTGGCCCGGCAGTGGCAGCAGAAGCCGGTGGCGTAGTCGGTGCAGAAGGCGTGAGGGGAGCAGCGCCCGTGGTGCTGGGCACACGTCTCCTTGCTGGCTGCGCTGTAGGTGAACACTGGGGACAGAGGGGAAAGGGTGAGGACACAGTGACAAAGCCACCTTTCACGGGGTGGTGGGTGTTTTGACTTCTTGGCCCCAAAAACACCGCCTGGAAAGGAGCCAGCTGGCAGTGGCAGTTCCCAAGAGAGTCACCCGGGATGCAGAGGGTTTGGAACCTGTTGCCTGACTTCAGGCAGATCTGACAGAGGGCAGGAGATCACATTCCTGAGGGTATTTTTGGGAGACAGTTGGCTGAGGACGGGGTTCTGCTCTCCCGGGCACGTGCCACGGCGGCCCCACAGCTGGCTGGGTGGCCGGGAGGGTGGCAAGGCCAACTGTGACCTGTCCCCTGAGCATCCCACCCCATCCCACGCTCCAGGCCTCCTGCCTTTTCCCTTGGCAAGCCCAGCAGGCAGGGCTGTGTGGCTCCTCAGCAGCAGGACTGGGCTGAGAGCAGGAGCTGCAAGGGCAGCAGCTTTGCAGGAGCAGCTCCTCCAGCACCAGACGGGGTGAACTTCCAGCCAGGAGCTTTTTTTTAGGGAGCCACCCCCACTGGGTCACTGTCCCCACTGGGTCATCACCCCGTGGGGTCATGGCAGGGGTTGTGGCCGCTCACCATCAGGGTTGAAATGCACGTCCTCCTCCACGCCCACGCCGTGCTGGCCGGAGCTGTAGGAGGAGGGGTTGGCAGAGTGGCTCTGCCGGGTGCCACCGTCCCCACTGGGCTGCATCCAGTGGCTCCGCTCCTGGGTGTCCCTCCTCCCTGCTGGGACAAAGCCCAGGAGCACCGGGGTGCCGGATCCGTGGCTGGGACGCTGAGCCATGGGTGTGTGGCTGGACAGTGGGTGGGGGTAGCTGGCAGTGCCAGGGTTGGGGTGCTCAGGGGGGCTCTGAGGCACAGCAGGAGCAGCTCCCTCGCCACCCCCCGGCTCCACCTGCTCGGCGCTGCCCACGTGGAAAACCCACACGCCAGGAATTCCTGTGTTGCTCTCCCTGTGGACACAGCACACATGAACATCATCACAGCCACGCTGGAAAAGCCACCCCAAAGGTGGCACCACCCATCCAAGACCCCAAAACAGCTCCTGTGCATGTGGGGCTGAGCCCCTGATGCAGCCCAGCACTCCCAGCTCACTCTCCAAATTTTTCCAGGTTCTAAAAGCCTCCAGGGCTGGGAGAAGGTGACCTTGCTCCCTCCTGCCCACACCCACAGCCCCCCAGGTCCCACTCACCTCTCCAAGCTCCTCAGAGCCTGCTCACTGCTGGCCAGGCTGTGGAAGAGCCCGTCCCTTTTGGGGTCATCACCGTCCCCCCAGCTGAAGCCCACCCTGGCTGGCAGCTCCAGCTGGACGTTGTAGGACTCCTTGGGCCGTGTCCCCAGGAACTGGAGGCCACCACTGGGGTAGAGGAAGATGGTGTAGGTGTCCTCATCGTTGTAGGCTATGACTGCCTGGAAGGTGTTGAGCTGCCAAAGGGAGAGCGGCACGGATGGATGGCGATGGAGGGGCAGGAAAACAGCAGAGGAGTGAAGGAAGGGGAGCAGGGATGGGAGAGGCAGCCCCACACACACCACAGGACATGGAAACACCCCAAAAGGGCCCTGCAACAGAGAGCACCTCCATGGAGCCAGACTGGGGGGCTGCGAATGTTCCCCTGGAGAGGAGAAGGATCCAGGGAGAGCTGGGAATGTTCCCCTGGAGAAGGGAAGGATCCAGGGAGAGCTCAGAGCCCCTTGCAGAGCCTAAAGGGGCTCCAGGAGAGCTGGAGAGGGACTGGGGACAAGGGATGGAGGGACAGGACACAGGGAATGGCTCCCACTGCCAGAGGGCAGGGATGGATGGAGAAGGGATTCGTGGTTGGGAGGGTGGGGAGGGGCTGGGATGAAATTCCCAGGGAAGCTGTGGCTGCCCCTGGATCCCTGGAAGTGTCCAAAGCCAGCTTGGATGGGGCTTGGAGCAATCTGGGATAATGGAAGGTGTCTCTGCACGAGGTAGGAGGTGGAATGGATGTTCTTTAAGGTCCCTTCCAACCCAAACCATCCCATGATCAGCCTGGGGAAGAGCAGGAGCAGGGGCTGCTCATGCCCAGCCAAACCCCAAGTGCCACATCCTGGGAAGATGCTCTGGATCCTCCCAGGGGCCCATGGCACAGCCAGGCCACTCCCTCGATGCAAGAGTGTCCCACGAGCATCCCTGGCCATGCAACCCTTGCCTCACTCCTGTCCTCCCACTGACAACCCCCCCTGCTCCAGAGGAAAACCCACACCCCCCGCTTGTCCCTGAGAACAATTTTAGCTCGGTTTCCTCCGGAAAAAACATTCCCGTGCTCCCAGCTCCCCATACATCCCGCTATAGGCAGGCTGGCTGGCTGCCCTGCCAGCCCTGCGAGCCCTGGGGCCGTGCCAGGCAGCGGCACCGCGGCCACAACCCACGGATGGGGAGGGTCTGGAGGCAGCACAGGACAAACCAACCCCGCACAGCCCCTGCTCCTCCGGGAAACAGCTCCGAGCTGGGAGCAGCAGCCCTTCCCACCGAGAGAAATAAAAATGATTAAATTCCCAGTTTCGCCCCCTGGAGCAGCATAAGGAGGGTGAGGGTTCCCCCCACTCCATCCCCACTCCCCCAGGGCTGATTTTGGGGCGCAGGGCCCCCCGGAGCATCGCTGGATTTCCTGGCAGCCCCGCGGGATATAAAGAGCCTTGTTGTGCCTGTCGCACACTCGGGCATTCAGAGACCCCGAAAAGGCGGCCAAAAAGCTGGAGGGGGGGTGTGGGGGGTGGAATAACCCCCCTGCCCCTGGGGCTGGATTCCTCCCCCACGCAGCCAAATCACAGCAGCAGCTGCAGGGCTCATTCAGCCTCGGGGTGGGTGGCGAGGGGGGACACGCTGGGTGACATCGATGTGCTGGCACGGTGGGAGGAAGGGAAGGAGGGGGGGGGGGAAGCCCCCAGAAAAGGGCAAATTCCAGCCCAAAAGGGCAAGTTTTGCTCCTGCATAAGCAAGCTCAGCCTTGTCCCATTCTGCAGCCAGGGAAAATGTCACTGCAGGGACAAGGAGCATGTCCCAAGGAGTTGGAGGGGACACGGCTCTGCCAGACCTCTTTCCCCAGCAGGACCCCCCAAAGAGGGAGTCTGGGGATCCTCTGCTCCCCATCTTAACCCAGTTTTCTACTTTTGGGGCTCAAAAGGGATTAGCCGTGACTTTCCAGGGCAGGGGGAAAGGCTTTGGAGTCAATCCTGGTTCTGAGCAGCAGGAGGGCAGCGTTTCCATAAACACCACATTTGGTCAGGGAAAAAAAGTAGTGCTTGGGCAGTTTTTTAGCAGTTTTGGTGAAGGGGGAGCTCAGTAAAGCACAGGCACAAGCTGCATTTCAGGAGCTTTCCCTGGAGCTCCTCGTTTCCAAACGAGACCGGTTTTCGTTTTAAAGCCTGATCCAAACTTCTCAGAGAGGAAAAAAAAAAAAAAACAAAACACAACGAGGAGAAGAGAAAAGAAGAGGAGGCTGCATTTTCGAGGTCACTGTGAGGCCCCTGATGGCATCTCTTCAGCTGTTTTCCCAAGTTTTAAATGAGAGGAAAAAATGTGCCTTGTCTCCTTCCAAACCTCAGCTTCTTGCCTTGCTTGGCTTCCCTCTCAGCAAGGCACTACTGAAGGGCCCTGGAGCAGGGGGCTGGCTCCTGGTGGTCCTTGGGGACCTGGTGGCTGCTGCTGGGTTTTGGGTGAGAGCCCCTCACCCATCACCCAGCTCTGGGTGTCCATCACCAGCGTTTTCCTGGTGCAGCTCATCCCGTCCAGTGAGTTCCTGCAGCTGGCGGAGTGTCACTGTCACCTCCTCAGCACGTCATCAGCCTGATGTGACAGCTCATGGCTCAGTGTTTTTTGGGGCAGGAGCCTTATCAGCTCCGTGGGTGGAGAGCACAGGTCACCCCCCCGACCTGGCAGACCCCCTATGAGCTTGTTTTCCAGGCACAACATCAGCCCACGGTGGAAATTCCAAAGCTGGTTCCTCGCCAGTGTGACCAGCACAGGGGCAGAAGGAAGGAGCAGCCCTGAGCCACCAGTAAAGGTCAGGAGCACAATGGGTGACCTAAACCAGGGCCTCCCCCAGCTGCCCCCAGCCACCCTCTGCCCTGCAAAGCCAGAGCTACCAGCACTGGAAAGCTCTGTCTGAAAAGAATCAGAATCATGGAATGGTTTGGGTTGAGGGGTTCTTAAAACTCATCCCGTTCCATTCCCATGGGACTCCATCCCAGGCTGCTCCAAGTCTCCTATCCAACCTTGGACACTTCCAGGGATCCAGGGGCAGCCACAGCTTCTCTGGGCACCCTGTGCCAGGGCCTCCCTACCCTCACAGCCAAGAATTTCTTCCTAACATCTGATCCAAGCAATGTTCCATTCTCCCTTGTCCTGACACTCCATGTCCTTGTCCAAGCACCTCCAGCCATGAAGGCAACAGCTGAACCTCCTCTGGCCAATAGCCCCAGCACTGTCCTAGCTCTGAGCAGAGGAGGAAAGCTCCATGTTCCTCCTGGTGCTCACCCAAGGATGGATGGATGGAGACACCCTCCAGCTGCTCAGAAAGAAAAGACTCAGCGTTTTGGGTACCACACCAGAAAAACTCATCCTCCAGTGACACACAGGATGGGCATCCAAGCTCAGCCCCTTGGCCTCACCTTCGTGGAGGGCTCGGTGTCCTGGGAGAGCTCCTGGTAGGCGCCCACGTCCTCCCAGGTGGCAATGAAGACATTGGTGGGCACGAAGGTGCCAGCAGAGCGGGGAAACCCGGCCTGGATGTATCCCACAGCCTGGTCCAGCACGTCCCGAGAGTCATCCTGCCGATAGTAAATGTTCCCTCTGTCCCCGGAGGTGTCGAGGTCGGCCAGGAAGGGGGCGACGACGGGGAAGTCTGTGGGGAAATCGTCATCCACGTACTGGGTCTCCCTGGGGAAATCCTGGGTGGAGATGACCCCGTTGGTCCCCACCTGCAGGGAAAGCGGTGCAGGGAGCTCAGGAGCTGCAGAGGTGCCACCACTGCCGCTCCCCTTGCCCTGTCCCCCCCTCCTCGGGGCAATGAGAGCCCCGGGGCCGCGTGGCCCCATCCGGCCGGGCAGAAAACAAAGACCTCGGGCTTCTCCATCCTCCAGGGAGCTGCAGCTCAGGGGCCATCCCAGCTGCAGCCGGAACAGCTGCGGAGGAGAAAGCCCTCTTGTTCCTCCGCAGCCGGAGACACCGGGCAGGACACCGCGGGAAGGGGGAAATGCATGGATGGATGGATGGATGGATGGGGGAAAAACACGTGCGGTGGGACAGCGAAGGTGCACATGGAGGGACAGGGGCGGGCAGGAGGAGGAGGAGGAGGGGGTGTAAAGGCAGGGGAGGAAGGGGCTGAGTGGGAGGAAGGATGGAAAGACGGAGGGGTGAGAAGCCAGAAGGAAGGAGGGATGGTGGGGCAGAGGGATGGAGGGGAGCAGAGTGGGAAGATGGAGAGAGGGCTGGAAGGAGGGAGGGACAGAGGGTGGAGAGATGGACGGAGTGAAGATGGAGGGAAAGAGGGAGATGATGGAGAGGAGGAAGCGGGGTAGGGAGTGAGAGCGGCCGGGGGGAGGAGGGCAGGGAAGGAGAGGGCAGCGGGGAGCGGGACCGGCCGGGACTCACGTAGAGGCGGCGGGCGGAGCGGCCGTAGAGGCGCAGGGCGCGGCGGAGCAGCAGCCCCGGAGAGCTCTCGTCATCCCCGGGCCGGAGCCGAGCATCGCCGCGGGCCGGGCCGTGCGGGAGCAGCCCCGGGCGGGACAGGGCTGTCCCCACCGCCAGCACCGCCGCCAGCACCGGCAGCACCGCCCGCATCCCGACACCGGCCACGGGAACCCCCGACGGTACCGGGAGAAGCCGAGCAGAGCAGCGGAGCCGAGCGGAGCCGGGCGGACCGGACGGGGCGACCCCGGCCCCGTGGGGCGGGACGGGGAGTAGCCCGAGGGGCGTGGCCAAACAGCGGCCGTCCCCGTTCTGGGCCAATCAGGTTTTACCCAAAATCCGTCCAGGGTTGAGGCCTCCCCCCTATTCCGCATCCCCGTGCATCCCCCGGGCCGGTACCGGCATCCCGGGGGGAGCGGGGTATCACAGCGTCCCGGGAAAAAGAGTGGGATCCCCTCTCCGTGCCCTGCATCCTCCCCCGGACCCCCCTGGAGCCCTGCGTCCCCCTCCGATCCCCGCATGCCCCAGGAGCCTCGCATCCCCCCCCGGATCCCCACATCCCTCCCCAGATCCCCACATCCCCCTCGGATTCCCGCATCCCCTCCCCGAGCCCCGCATCCCCCAGGATCCCCGCATCCCCTCTGGATCCCCGCATCCCCCTGGATCCCCGTATCCCCCCCCGCTCGCTGCTCCGCCCCCGGGGCCGGGCCCGCGTCCAGCCGGGGTCGGGGCCGGGGTCGCGGCGTGGGCGGGAGGCTCTGGCCACTCCCCGCTCGCTCCCTCGGATCCCGCTCCCTTGAGCCGGGAAGAAACGTGACTCCTCATCCAAGGGGACCCGCGGGGGGAGGACAGGGGCAGCCCCCGGCCAAAATCTGTCGTGCAGCCCAGCTGGCAGGCGGTCAGCGAGCGGCCCCCCACGCACGCCCGGCCGGGCGCGGGGTCAGCGCTGTTTATCCTTTCTCTGTCCCATCATCCATCATCTCCAGCTCTGCAGGGGCCGATGGACCGAGGAGGGTTTGCTCTGGGGTCGGGGGATGAGGGTGGGAGTACCCACAGTGGTGGAGGGGAGGAAGAGCTCAAATCCCGGCAGCTGCACTCCGTGAATGCTCCTGGAAATCCGGGCTGGGAGCAGCCAAAAGCTCTGCTCCAGCTTCCTGGAGCGTTTCCCCCTTCCCTGGCCTGGAGACTTCATCTCCAGCACAGCCATGCCCGAGGAATGCCAGATAACAAGGAGGGAAGTGTCAAAGCCCTTGTAGGCTGTCGAGAGAAATGAATCAGGGACACATTCATGACATTCCCCACAGGAATCCTCACGTGGGAAGCAGCTGGACACTCTCCATCCCGTCTATTGCAGTGACAGAGATTTGTCACTGTGGCCCTGTCTCCTCCATCCTGTATCCACTGCACCCTGCTTACCCTGGAAAGCAGCTCCCAGTGGTGCTGGGATTGAGCTGGTTTGGAAGTCTGGCTCTTCCAGGGAGTGCCACTGCCAGGGCCACATCTGGAGAAGCCACTGGCCCTTGGCTGCAGGCATCTGGCAGGCTCCAGCCCCTGGAAGGAGTCATTTGCCTGGCCATGGAAAACCATTAGGACTTGGAGTGGGGTCCAGGCCAGCTGGACACGATCTGCAGCCTTGGAGGAGCTTCCCGCGCCAAAATGTGGCTTTTCTTTGAAGCTCCAACACCTCCATGGCTCCACAGGGAAATTGGGAGCTGCAGGGGGCCAGCAGCTCCTCTGCCTGGTGAGATCCCAGCTGGGATGTCACTCCCATGGGGATTGTTGGCATTTGGTGGCACCTCGGAGGTGGCAGAGGGGGCAGGAAGTGGGGGGAGGGAAAGGGAGGAAAGCCTTGCTGTTCCATGAGATTTTGGGGGGCTATTGAAAATCCAAACCACGGGCCCTGAGAATCCTCTGGACTGGGAAGGAGGAGCTGCCAGGCTTCCTGCAGTCTTTAGGATGCTAAAAATTGTATTTTCCCTTCTCCCTGAGCCAAACTGGCACGGGTCAGTTATAAAAAGCCAGCTGGGAAGAGCTGGAGTCCTGTCCTGGCCTTGGGAGCAGAATCCTGCTGGCATGGGCATCCCTATGGCTTTGGGAGAAGCTGGGAGCCTTAGTGGGGATGGGAACAGGGATTGGGATAGGGATGAGGAAGAGGATGGAGACAAGAAATGGGATGAGGAAAGGGTGGGGACCATGATGTGGATGGTGTCAGGGATGAGGATGGGGATGGACATTGGGATGGGGACAAGAATGGGGATGGGCGTAGGAACAGGGATAAAGATGGAGACAAGGATGGGGATGGGGATATGGATGAGGATGGGACAAGGATGAGGATGGGCAATAGAGAATGAAGAGGAAGGTGAGGAAAGGGGCAAGGATGAGGATGGGCAGAGGAATAGGTCTTGGGATGTAAATGGGATTGGGTACAGGGATAGGGGTGAGGATGAGAATGAAGATGGGGACAGGGACAGGCTGTGCTCGCCCACACCCTGTGCTGGGAAGGGACTGGTCCCTGTAATCACTTCCATGTGCCTCTGGCTGCAGGGTTCATCCCTTCTCTTAGCTTGGGCATGAAAACAATCCAGAGCCATTTCCTGGGAGGCATTTTGGGCAGAAACAGATGTGCTGACATTATGGAAGTGCAGGAAGATCTGGGATGGGGCTGAGGATGGATCTGCCCCGACCCAGCAGACACTCCCTGTGCTGAACTGGGAGAACCAGGACAAACCACTGGTCACCCTCCTGCCAGATGTGGCTGCTGGGAGGGGCCGGCACCTCCCTGTCCTGCTGAAGCCTCACCTTCCCCTGGGCTCCCAGCGAGGAGCAGGAAAAGCAGAGGAATCCCTGGCTCAGAGGCTGCTGAGGCAGGAAATTCCGGCAGCCTCTCCCCCAAGCCTGGCAGCGCTGGAATTGCTGAGCCCCTGCAGCCGGCAGAGATAAGGGGAGCAGCAGGAAACGCGCACCTCTCCTGGGGCAGGCAGGAAAGGAAGCGTGATTCCCGGGAACGGGAGCGTGCCTGGGGGCTGCAGCACACATCACAGGATGCTCCGGGGCTGTTTGGGATGTTTGCAGGGAAGCAGGGCTGGGATAAGAGCAGGGATTCAGGCGGTGCTGGCACAGGCTCGCTCAGCAGTGTCCCGTTGCCAGCTGGGTTAGTGGGTCACTCTAATAAAGCCTTGGAGCATTTCTCCCCCTGGATATCGGAAACCAGCCCTGCTCAAGGTCAGGCGGTTTGGCAGGAAGGGCCACAAACCCTTGATGTGTCTTGAACATCCCTGTGGGTCCTGCAGGAAAGGGCTCTGCACCCCTGAGCTCCCTGGACCAGCACCAAAAACTGTTCTGGCCTCATGTCCCAAGAAAAATAGATGGCTCTGGGGACCCCCCTCATAGAATTAAGGAATTGTTTAGGTTGGGAAAGCCCTCTCAGATCATCGAGTCCAACCCTTCCCCCAGCACTGCCGAGGCCACCACTGCCCCGTGTCCCCAAGTGCCACATCCACATGGCTTTTAAATCCCTCCAGGGTGGTGAATCCACCACTGCTCTGGGCAGCTGTGCCAGGGCTGGACAACCATTTTTGTGAAGAATTTTTCTCCATATCCAATCTAAACCTCCCCTGGCACAACTTGAGGCTGTTTCCTCTTTCCTGTCCCTTGTTCCCTGGGAGCAGAGCCCGACCCCCACCTGGTTGTTTCCTCCTTTCATGGAATGACAGAAAGAAAATTCCTCCATCCTTAATAACTGGAATGTGCTGGATAATACCGGCCAAATGTGGCAGCAGCATTTCTGAGGCTCGATAAAACCAGACAGAATCAAACCAGACCCCATCAGCTGCCCCCTGGCCCAGGAAGGTGAGCACAGCCTTGGGTTTGAGCTCAGCCCTCAGGAGCCATCCGAGAAGTCCCAGCTGGTGCTCGACTTTCCAGCAGCAGGAACAAGCTCTGAGCTGTGCCAAGGACAAAGGGGGACTCTGTGGGTGGCTGTGCCCCTCCTGTGGGGTGGCTCTGCATCCCTTCAGGCCATCCTGAGGGATTTCTCCTGCTGGCTCCATCTCCCTGCCTTCCCTGGGGCTTTTTCCTTTCCTGGGAGCATCCCGAGGGAGCTGACAGCAGGGCAGGTCCCCCCCAGCACAGCACCCAGCTCTCCACATCTCCATTTTTGGGAACACTCCTCATTAATTTTGCTCTCAATTCCTTGACTCAGCTTTGCCTCGTGACTCAGCATTTCCTTACCCTGGCCCACTGCAGGGACACAATTCCCCATGGATCCAGGGATGGACACAATTCCCATGGATCCAGGGATGGACACATTTTCCCACAGATCCAGGGATGGACACACTTCCCCAAGGATTCAGGGATGGACACACTTCCCCAAGGATTCAGGGATGGACACACTCCCTCATGGATCCAGGACCTGCTGAAGGTGCATCCTCAAGGACAGCCACCCCTGCTGCAGGTGATTTCCCACCCTCCAGCTGTGACCCAACACGGATCTTTCTGCTCAGGGCATCACAGGTGTTGTGGGAGAGAGGTTTTCCTTATGGAGAGTTGGAATTATGGGGTCCAGAACACCATGGGGTGCATGGAAAAACAAGATTTTTATAAAAAGAGGATTTCTTGACCTTGGGCAACTTGGCTGGAGCAGAAATGTGAGAAAAGGTTTCAGTGCATGGAGAGAAGGAAAACCAAGTTGGATGAGGCTTGGAGCAACCTGGGATAGTGGAAGGTGTCCCTGCCCATGGCAGGGGTTTGGAATGGGATGAGATTTAAGGACCCTTCCAACCCAAACCATTCTGAGATTCCAGGATTAAGCTGCTGAGTCCTCCCAGCTGGAAAGTGGAGCTCAGATCTCCCAGCACCCCGGGGAGCTGAAGACTCACAGGATGAAAACTCTGCTCCCACATGGAAAAACTTTCTGAGACATCTGAGCCCCAGCCCAGAGAAATGCTCCAGGTTTTACAATGTATTTTAAGACATAAAGGTAAAGAAAACTTTTTTTTTTTTTTTTATTTTAAATCTCTGGGGCTCTCCCTCCTTCCTTCCTTCCTCTCTCTAAATATTGCTGCAAAGCTGTTTTTTCTCCAGCAGCTGCCGGATGAGCGTGAGGAGCCCTGCGAGCACGGAGCTTGCAGGGAGCTCCCAGCCCTGCCTGACACTGACTGATTCCTGCTCCCCAAGATTAGCCACGAGCTCCTTATTTGGTCCAGGCTCCAGCAAATTCCCTGGCAGAGGGGATTGAATCTGCAGGCAGATCAGCCCGGATGGGAGCTGTGCTGGAGCATCTGTCAGGAGGGAGCAGAGATAAAAATCAGAAAATCAGCCCAGAGCCGGCGTCTCCAAGGAGCCTGGTGTTTGTCCCCACAGCACAGGGCACAGCAGACACACACTGCCTGTCCCCATCACTCTCC